TTACAAGGCCCTTTGTATACCTAGTTCTTTTAGTAAATTAAAAGTTATTGATTTTCAAAAGACACCCAGGGGCTCTATAACTTAATTGCCTCTTGTGGTGCTCCAAAGGTGGTGTATGATTGCTGCTAAAATTAGGGCTTTATCTGAGTTCCCCTCCAACACACTCACACCCCCCACCCACCCATTGCATTGGCTGTTATTAAATCCCACATCATCCAGGAGACATTAAAAGTGTTGCATTACTACTTCTCCTGTCACGCTGGACCTGAAATAACAGATGTTTAAAAATAGCCGTTTTGACATACAACTCAGAAGCAGAGAAAAACGATTTTTTTAAATCACATCACATAAAGCGTAGACTGTCAGCACATCACCTAGTCGCTCCAGTGGAGCTAAAAACAACCACAAAAGATAATATGTTCACTCATTTTATATTAGACTAAATGTAAAGTACAAGGAGCGACTGGACTTTCTGTCAGTGTTTATTTCTCTGTCTACATCTGATTACATAAAGCAGCATTGCCTCTGATCTGAAGATTGGTGTGGTTATGGTGGAGTAGCATGTGAGCAGTGTGTTTGTATAAACAGTAGAGAGTTGTGTTTGTGTATGCATCGCGTGTGGGCACATCTTTTCATTAGTCATAGATGGCACAACTGGCGATGCTGGCAATGACGAGCCTGCTCTTTGGGAAAATTACTCTCTTAAAAACACTGCAGCTGAGCCTGCCTTATTGTACAGGCAAATTAGCGAACAGTGGACAATGGCTCATCTCCCATGAGGTGTTAACAGCTAATCCTCTCTCACATCTTCCAGCAGTAGAGTGCTGCACTGGTGACATCTTAATAATAATCATAATGCTAAAGATTACTTTGTTTATATAGTACCTTTCATACCAGGGTTACAAAGTTCTTCACATACAGAAATAATAATAATAATAAAACAACACATATAATCCCCTCCCCCTTACTCACCAAATGGATTGTCTCTCTTATGGCTCATCATTAGCATTTGATTATAAACTGTCACTATGAAAATATATAAATCATTCTTTAGTTGCGACAAAAAAACAAGTTATACATTGTCAAATGATCAGTCTACAGACCTAATAGCTGTGAGGTTATGCTTAAGAACAATGATGCTTTGACTTAACCACTAACATTAGCAAGCTAGCATGCTCACAATGGCAAAACTAGCATGTTGATGTTTAGCAGGTACAATGTTTACCATGTTCACCGTCTTTGTTGGTAACAATTAGGGTTTTAACTACAGTAGCACTATACACAAAGTACAGATGATGGTTTTGTTATTTAATGGGCATTACACGTGTTGGACAAACAGAATTGTTTAGCTGTTAATGGAACAAGATGAAATATCAAGGGATCAAGGTTCTTACAAATAATCATCAGGGGACCTTGAAGGACCTTTGCAGTGTATTTCAGTCCGTGCCACAATTGTCAACCTAATGATGAATCAATCCAGAGTAAAAGTGAGATGGATCATAGAAGTCAGAAGGGGTCATCCTCTTAAAGCCGTGAATGCTTGTACAAAGGTTTATGACAGTTCATGTTAAAGTTCTCTTGATGTTTCAGTCTGGAGAAACTGCAACACCAACAGATCAACTTGATAAGAAGCTGAATCTGAAGAAGTCTTTCATTAATTATTGTTTTTTATAGTCATGACACAATTGCTGTTGTGGGAGAATTGAACCAGTTTCACTGAAAGTAAATTAAAAAAAGTCGCTGAAAGTAAAAGTCTGAAATGTTGAATTAATGACATCAATGGATGGAAATACAACACACTATGAGAATATGGATAATATCCTGTATCGAAGCACTTGTTATAATTTGATATAAGTTCTGAAGGAAATTGTGTGGATTTTATATTACAAAATACAGAAAAATAATATAAATGTTTGAATTCCTCAAAATGTAAATCTTTCACTGAGCAGAGGCTTGGGAATTGTCCATTTATTTTATTTCAAAAATATTATTAGTAGCTTTCAGCTACTTCCCCTGTTGTAACTTTACTGTAAATGACTTTACGTGACTATTAAGACAAAATATTACAGCAAATACAAAATGTAAAACCTTTCTTTATTGACTTTTTCAAAACTAATAGTTGAAAGTGCTCTTCTATGGGCTCCTTTGCGTTCTAATTACAGTACACTTGTTAGCAAATATTGACATATTGAAAAAGTCAATCGATTTGAATGACAGGTAGAAAATAATATGCCTGAAAAGGTTGCACCTCATCAACACAACATTGTTGTGCATTGTCCCTCTTCAAATAAATGATTAAATTAAATTAAATGTTAGTGAGACATAATGTGATTTTCAAAGAGGAGGTATAATCCAATAGCTAATTGGTGGAAAGTTGAAAAGTCAAATGGATACAGCGTTTTTAAGTGCTCTGAGGGCAGGCTTTGACCTTTTTTATATAGTGTATTGATTAATTATAATGTTGCTGATGAAATAATTTAGGCTTATTGTGCTGCTGCAAATTCCAACAAAATAAACACAAGGTCTTCAGACTGGTTTTGTTAAGAGCCCGAAATAATTTGTCTATCGTACGTGTTCATGTCTTACAGGTGTTGAGCTTCAGCTGAGGATGTCAGGAGGTTCTCGAGTCCTCATGGACCACAACATGGAGATAGGAGTAACACCTGCGCAGGTATAATGCACACTCACTACATGGTCAAACACTGTACTGATCCCAACGGTCTCACCACAGCGGGTAGAGAGAGTGTGAGGGATGAGAGAAAGAGGGGGCATGTGGATGGGAGCACATAGAGGAAAAAAAGGATTGGAGAATATATAGAGAGATGGGAATTATCAGTAGAGACAGATGGATGTGTGTAAGTAAGGAAAACAGACTGGCTTCCACGGACAAAGTGAAGGATAAAAAGGCTAGTTAACATAAAGTAGATATCCAGTATACTTACTTTATAGATTAAGTAAGCAAACAGATACAATATCAAGCCTCTTAATGTATTACCAAACCTGTTTCTTTAGCTCACCTAAATATAGAGCACAGTTTACTTGGAGGATAGGAGGAAAAGACACCCCACTCACTCCCATTAACAGATGGTGGAGTTGCACTGGTTATCTGTCCTGATTCCCCAGCTGATTGCAACTAATGCTGTCTACCCAAGCGCAGCTAGAAAGGCTCAATGGCAGACAACACCCACCACTTACTTCTGCCATTCAAGGAGAACTAATGAATTTGTTTATTGACCATCCCCCCCACACACCGTATTGACTACAAAGGCCAACGATTGGTCGCCAGTGCTGGTGACAGCTTCATCCATCATTCAATTAGCCACATCCTAAAGTGTAGAAATGAATGGGCCTCCTTAAGCGGTCTTTCATTTAAAAGCAGTGAAGTAGTGAATAAAAACAATTGGAAAAAACAGTAACTACGTACATTAACTGATGTGGAGAATTTCACTTGGACAAATGGTGGCCTGATTGGGTTCTACATCTATATGTGGTCCAATATCCCTAAACGCAGTTGGTAATAAGTGCACTGGTTGATATTTGGTAAATGCATCATCACCCAGAGACTAATTGCGATGCCGGTCAATAGGCATTGTCTTTCAATTCTTCTTTGTCAAAACGTTCCACCAACTGGGTTCACTTTAAATCAATACCTGACAACTCAATACTGCACACCTAGGCCTGACTGGTGGTGCGTGTAGACAGGAGAGCAGTGAAACAGCACCTAACATCTCCCAAAACAACACTCTGCAATCGAAGGGACTGCAAGGATACCGTAGTGCTTTATGTCCTTCCCAGGATGAACTGTGACAGTGATCGTTCTGATAGAGCTGTCAGTGTAACAGCAATACGACACAGCTTTTTCCTGGTGATGTGCATGACTCTGGAGAGATATGAATCCCAGGTGTCATCTCAAAAGTGTGGGATTCAGAGGGCACAGGAGCTGGTTTCTTGCCTCCACACAAAGCATTTCAATGATCGGCTCAGATTGGAAGGTGTCAGTGTGCTGCCAACATGTCCTCGGTCTGTTCAAAATGTGCATTGAAACTTTGCTCGCTATATTTATTTGTCTGTTAAAGGCTTTTATCAGAATGAAAGCAATGCAAGACTACATTGTCGGGCTGTGTGGCAGTCATTGATTTTCAAAACCCTTCAACATACAACATCAGAATACTGCCTGTATGTGCATGAAAGCAGATTTCTAGATTGAGTTCAATATGATTGCCCGGGCATATGCCACTCTTTTTGATGATGCCATAAGGGGCTGTTGGGGAAGGATGGAGGATCTGTTCCTATCCAGGCTTGCCAATGTCCCATAGGGTGTGAGGGGAGGGAACACAGGGGACGAGGAGTGAGACAGGGCACAGCTGTGGAGCCAGATCGCGTCACTGGAGCTGGGCCAACATAGACAAAGACCTGGATGTCCTTGTGTTCCTGTTGTACCCTTACTCTCCTTTTCTCCCGCTGCATACAGTGACACCTACAATGTCATTGAGGAGTAGCACGTCGCAGTTACTTTATAGCAGCTCTTAATTTTATTTGCCATCCTGCCAGCAGCACGGAAAAGTGTGGTTTTGCAAAGGCTGGAAGGAAATCTCATTAAATAGGTTAACACTGACATCCTCCAGCACAAACTCAATATGGCCTTAGAGAAAATATGAATGAAAAGAAATCAAAGTGGGTACTGTAAAGCACACCCATGTGGAGAAAACCTTAGATTGCTACAGCCTTCACTCCCTCTTTTGTTGTGTCTCTGAGTGTGTGCTTTCTTTCACTTGCCTTCTTCCCCTCACTTAGCCTGTCTTTCTCTTTCTCTTCTAGGTGAAGAAGCTCCCTAAACACATGCGGGATGCTCAGATCTCTACAGAGAGAACACATTTGATTTCTGACCCTGCTAGGAAGCCACGTCAGCGATACGTGCAGAAGGATGGCAAATGCAACGTTCATCACGGAAATGTGCAAGAGACCTACCGATACCTTAGTGACTTGTTCACTACACTGGTGGACCTACGCTGGCGTCTTAGTCTCTTCATTTTCACCTTGGTTTATATAGTCAACTGGCTTTTCTTTGGCTTTCTATGGTGGCTGATAGCGCTTATTCGAGGGGATCTGGTGCATGGTGATGAGGACGACTGGACCCCCTGTGTGGAAAACCTCAACAGTTTTGTCTCAGCCTTCCTCTTCTCCATTGAAACAGAGACCACCATTGGGTATGGTTATCGTGTAATCACAGAAAAATGCCCTGAGGGTATCATACTGCTTTTGGTGCAGGCCATCTTGGGTTCTATTGTTAACGCCATGATGGTGGGCTGCATGTTTGTCAAGATTTCACAGCCAAAGAACCGCGCCGAGACCCTCATGTTCTCGCACAAAGCTGTCATATCGGTGCGTGACAATAAGATGTGCCTGATGTTTCGGGTGGGGGACTTGAGGAACTCTCACATCGTGGAGGCATCGATCAGAGCGAAGCTGATCCGCTCGCAGCAGACCAAGGAGGGGGAGTTCATCCCGCTCAACCAGACTGACATCAACATTGGATTTGACACGGGAGACGACCGGCTGTTCCTGGTGTCGCCTCTTATCATCTCTCACGAGATCAACGAGAAGAGCCCTTTCTGGGAGATGACACTGGCACAAATGGAAAAGGAGGAGTTTGAGATCGTCGTTATCCTTGAGGGCATGGTGGAGGCCACAGGTATGATGGGGGGATGGTAAAGGGAAGACATAAGGGGGCAATGGGGAATGGATCAGGGAAAGGGTAGAGGGAGTAAGGTTGAATGGGAAGACATATAGAGGATGTGTTAATGCAGGGGTTCCAAAGTGGGGGTCCCGAGTGGGGGTCGCGAGATGATTACAAAATAAAAATGGAAAATTAAAAAAAAGAAAATTATAAAAAAAAATTGATTAATTTTTTTATAATTGTTTTTTTTAAATTATTATTAATAATAACGATTGCATAGACATTTTCAGGGGCGGACTAGCCATCTGTATAATTTCCCCGCAACGAGGCTCCCCCTTTGACAATCCACTAGCGCAGGGGTCGGCAACCCGCGGCCCTCGAGCCTCATGCGGCCCTTTAAGAACTCTGCTCTTGCTCCCTTGAGCTTAGACAAAAGTAAGAAGGAAATAAATAAAGTATTTGTAGGACTATTTATATTTTGTTGCATGGTTGAAAATGTTTCGTATCTTGTATTTTGAGGTGATACTGTGACACATAAATAAAAAACAAAACGGTTTTAATTAGGTCAACTAAAATATGCGTCACATCCTGCTACGGTCCCGCGCGAGTGCCTTTTCTTGGAGGCGAATAACCTGACCCCCGGCTCGATGAGCGAACTATGGATAAATCAACGAAAAGTATCGGAGGAACACAGGATTTAATTCTGCGTGGACAGAGTTCTGTTTCACAGCAAACGATGCTGGTTTACCGGTATGTTTGATATGAAGAGAGAAGTTGTCAACGGTGCTGCTGTAGCCTTTACGTATCGAGGACGGGAGAGGAAGACAGCTGACAATCTTCAGTCATAATTCAATGGGGTATGTCATTTATTTCAGAAAACACTTTTTGTTATTTACCATGGAATGCTCTTAATGTCCCGATAACAATGAATATATTAAATGCTTTGACAATAAATACTTACAAAAATGTATCTCTGGAAGCCGTAGCGCTGTAAAAAGCACGACCAATCATTTTAGCCCGGCCCGGCTAAAATAACTGGATGGCCTACCTGCCTGTCAGCCTTCATCTAATGCACAAACGTATCTCGTGGCCTCATTGAGAACCGCAGTGACGCGGGGTCGTAAAACCCGAAGTAAGTTAGCATTTTTAGCACTATCCCCGTTCCTTCCTCAAAAAAGCAATGCATTTTTATCCCTTAGGATTTTGGAAAATAGCTCGAACATAAGTCTTTGGTTGACCACCAAATTTAAGAGATACAATCACGTTTTGTTCACCGACATGTAAACTACATCAGCAGCTGAACCCCAGCTGGGGGATCTTTGGAAGAGTTTACGTGTGCTGAAAAATGATCGTCGTTACCGACATGGCCTGAATAAGACTAGCCAGAAATGTGGTCGGAGCCGTGGACGTCAGTTACGCCGAACACGGAAACACTCCGCTAAGCGTTTGTTTCCCCTGTGTGTGCTGCTTAAAGCAAGGTGACCTGCCTATCTTTAGTATCTGTATATCTATATCTGACCATTAGAATTCGTGTATTTTTGAAATTGGTCGTTTTTAACACCGTAGTTTTACAAAATTATAGGAATAATTAATTACACCAGGTGTTTTCCAATTTTACTCCGGCATTCGGTTCCGTTAGCTAACGTTAGCTAAAGCTACGACTACTAGTTAGCTAACGCAATGATTTGGTTGCTTTGCTCCGGTTGCGCCACAGTCTTCGCATGAAACNTCTTATTATAGGCTGCATCCATTGGTTGGTTTTGTGGCACATTTGTAACGCTGTGCCAACTTGGGCAAGCATGCAGGCAAACTTGAGGAGCGCACACAGGGTGGAGTGAGGTTGAGCGATGGAGAGAAAGGGAGAGAGAGAGATTGAGCGAGGCAGATAGCGTGTGCAGCGGTCTGCTTGCGCACAGAGCCGAAGTTTGTGACAGAGCCGGCTTGAATCAATTTCTCTTCAAAATATAATTGATTGATTACGTTGGTAACGTAACTGTTTCTTCTAATGTGCCTGCCTGCATCTGGCGCTGAGTTGCCATATTCCTTTCATGAACCACTTCCTGATATCCATTGTTGCAGATAAATATAAATGATAATAGCCAAACTAACCTAGCAAGAGTAAACTGACAGGCTGCTGTGCCGCATCTCACTCAAAAACCCACACGACTCAACCCAGCGAAAAACCAGTCTCGCGCGCAGCCTTTCATTCAGAATTTCATTCAGAATTTCATTCAGAATTTCATAGCAAAATAAAAAAATTATATTAAACTAATCTTTCAACATAGTTTAAAACAAAAATAAATATTAGGACAGAGCCCTACAAATAACAACCATAAACATAATAATAAAACAATTAAAATGTTGTATTCAGCCCTGATTAAAACTCCCCCCCCCCCCCACAGGGGGTCGCCAGTCTCTGGCACTGTTATTTTGGGGGTCGCGGGCTGAAAAGTTTGGGAACCCCTGTGTTAATGGATAGAGCGAGACAGGTATTGATGACATGTTTGATACAGGAATTAAGCTGAGTGGGAGGGATGGTAAGATAGATCAATGGATGGAAAGAGAGAAAGAAGAGGCTCACATGGAGGGGTGAATTGTTCAAACGAGGCGGGGGAGGGCAAGAGGGAGTACCTGTAAGTGCTGCAAATTGCAAACGATTTTACTAATGTAATGGATGGAAAGACAGGGAAACTAACTACCGATAATACACTCAAAATGAGACATAAACCATAATGCATTCCACTTTGAAGTAACATTTAATGTGGAGTTTATTATTTGAATGATTTCATAACAGCTGGCAAATATTTTTATCAATGTGGCAATTGTTTTTTCCTCACTCCTTCAACTGCAGTCTTCATCAGTATAATCTTGTCCACACATTTTAAGGTTTATTTTGGGACTATTGAAAGCTTGTCACACCACACACGCCTTGCCTTTGTACTCACTGCAGAGCCTGCACTTCCACTGTTACTACTTCAAGGTTATGTCTTGTGTATTTTTAAATGTATGAAGTGAAGCAACGCACATTGCTGGTCTATACAGTATGTTTTGAGTAAAAGAGCTGTCCTAAAAATAGTTCCAGGCATTTAGAAGGCAGACATGGCCAGGTGTGTCTATAAAGCTCCACAAAGCTCCCATTTACCGTCGTGAGAGGTAGCTATCAAAATGAGATAAAAGCAGATTGTAATGTTCAAGTTTTATCCAATGGGTTTTTCAAAAACACACAATCTCTGATAGAAGCAAGTGTTTTGCCATGTTTGCAAACCATTGTCATTCGTAATTATAATGATATTGATACAGAAACCCTACAGCATAATGGACCACAGCTAGCTGTTAATGGGCCGTTCTGATGTGTTTACAGCGGGATGTTGGATAAATGCAGTATTGTTTATATGCCTGAGCTTCATTGTTTACTGTTATTGTTGAAAGACTAATTACAATCCTCTCATTTGAAATACAATGCATTATGCATGTTAGTAATTTGCTTTATTGGTGTTCATCATCCTTTGAGTCAGTAAATGAAACACACTGGTTGTTAAGGTGTGTTTAGTCTTGTGCACACAGTTGTTTTTTAGAAGACACGTACAATCCACAGAGCTCCCTAATGCAATCAGGCATGGCTTCGCAAGCATCTGAACATTTATTTTGTGTTATTTATTACATATTTGTTCTTCCTCCAAATCACCGGTAGTCATCATGTTTAATGCTAATGCTGCTGGATACTTGAGTCATCGAAACGCCATTCGCGTCACCAGCGTAGACCATGACCTCATGCATGTCGTTACTGTCCTTGACCGCTAGGAAAAGGACTCACGTGAACATCTCATGCTCCATTTCCATAATTATCTTAATGAGGCATGTGTAACATGTCTAGCCTAAACCATTCCTCAATCACGGTTGATTTTAACAATTTTCCCATGTTTTGCCATGCTTTTACTTATACTTATACTAATAGCAAAGTCAGGATAAAAGAGAAAATAAAAACCACGTTTCTGGTTTGAAGCCTATATAAGTATTTACCATGTCTTTTTAATTGATGTTTAAGGTCCTAAGGTTACTAACCTTCAAATCTTTCGGCTGAATACGCACTCACCACTATTTTTAAAGTGATAAATAATGCATGTTTTAACTTATTGTCGGCTAATGTGAAATTTTGACCTGACCCAATAGGATAGCATGTTAATATTTCAAATAATCAGCAGCAATGCCAGGGGAGAGATACACTAGAAATATAATTAATTTTTTTATACGGAGAATAAATATTAATGGCTCATATCCAGCCAGTAATTATCTCGTAAAAAACTCAAATTGAGTTGGATTAAAATCAGTATCTGATAATGTTCCTGAATTGCTCAGGCTTTATAAACCCTCGAATACAAACTGACTATTAAACACATGTATTTTACCACATCACGAGTGGGATGCTGTCAAAGAATTTGACAGATGAGTGGGAGGTGAAAAGGTTTCATGTATTTTTTTAAAGGCCAGCCGCTTATTTTCTCCGTTGACATCCAGAGTGTGGTTTAAGCTCAATTGTGAGTGAGGCTCTGGAAATCACATAGCATTTTCTTTCTCAAGTACTCATTTAGGGATAACAAGCACTGAGATATAATTATAATTAAATAATAAACTATTTGATTAAACTGGATATAAATCAACCTAACCACCTGAGCCGTATTTGTGGTAGTGTGCGTAAAATGTTAATTGTGCATATCATTCTCAGCCCTAATTTATATTCACTGGTGTGTATAACTTTGTACGGAAAATAAATTGAAAATGTCTGCAGGGCTGCCAACTCTTACTGAATTGTGAGACTTACGCACATCTTTCGCAAACTTTCACTTTAAACGTCCTTTATCACATTATTTTAGATTTATTTCAGTAAGAATCAGACACTGCATGGCTAAGGTGCATAGAATAAAAGATACATACATCAAATTGTGCAAAAAATGGGTGCTGGTACAAACAAATAATTGTATTTCTTTGTAATTGTCCGTTTGGATAAATGTATTTACTATACAGAAAGAAAATACTCCCTCGGTACATGCTCAAGGGATACAATGTGCAAAAAGTAACAAAATGTGGCTTTTAGGGAAATATTTTAGTATAAAATGTATTCACTAATCCATCCAAACATTTGTCTGTATCACTTAATCCCTCAAATCTGCCATTTATCGCTTGCACCTATTGTTTTCAAAACATTTATAAGAGTGAAATTACAAGAATTGGAAAATAATGGGATGAAAAGTATCGTTTGCTGCCCCGTGGCTCAGTTAATGTTATCATTAAAAAATGAAGTTTTACCTTGAGAAGTGATCCTGTATTTATAAAATTTAAAAGTGGTTATTTTTTTTTAATTTAGTGTTAGAAGAAGCAACCCGACTATTTTCTCTGTTATCAAAGCTGCCTCTGAACATAATTTACAAGCAACGAGGTAACTAATTGCTTTTGGTAGCCCAAGGTTGTTCTAAAAAGTTAGTTGGCTAACAGTATAAAAGCATACTTTCAGCAGAATACTGTAAACAGATTCAAACTTGAATGTCATTGAGTGCCCTCGGTCCTCCCAGACTGTCCTTGTAGTTATGGTAAGGACAGGTGTTCATAAACAGATTGCATGTCTCCACAAATCAAACTTGTCATGAGACAATCCATCAGCAGAAACTCGGTTTTCGGTAACTGAATGCATCAAGTTAGAGTTGCTACTGCTTAGGTCGCGTGCCAATTCTATGCTGAGTCAGCACAGGAAGCCTTAAGCTACAAAACATAAGGGCATACTACAACTAGTAAAGAGAAAGAAACCAAAACATGCTAAACACATTTCAATACAATTATAACATAGCTTTACTATTAAGCGTAGGTTGTGTTCTGTTACATATTATGACGTATAGGCATTGCCAGCCCAGTAAAAGGCTATAGGTGGATGTTTGTGTGGCCATGCAGTAAACCCTTTTGAAGTGCTACGAGGAGCAGCATCAGTCAACATCTGCATTGACGTCCTGACATTATGATGTGCCAACATTGGTTAAGCAAAGTGTCACAAATAACATTAATGATGGGCTTTTTCCATGTTGATATACCAGTAAGCCAGCAGGCACAGTAGCACAACCCCAATACCGACACACCTACATGGAAAGCAGCCATTATTTATGTTTATTCTTTCATATAAACACACGTATTACAGCTCAGAATGTGTGTTGTGAGAAAGTTGTGTTGGTAACAGAAAGTTGACTTGTGCATTTTTTTATTCTTAAAACCTAATGCTGATGATTGTACATGCTTTTCCCAGTGTGTACCATGTGTGTGGTGGCTTACAGGTGTTCTGACATTGAGGCGCTTCTAAATGTGCCATGGGATCTGACAACCATACATTCATATTGCAATAAACAACTGTAGAAAAACCTCCGTGAGCATCTCCGCAATTCCACCGCCCTCACGTTAGCTTTGCGCTCAGTGTTAGTTGCCTGAAGCTTTGTTTATACATGGTGTGCAAGATACCACCATTCAAACCGTGTTTTCCGTGGTAGTCGTGCTCCTTTTCACATTATATAATTGTGTAGTTGTTTAGAAGATGGGAACATTGGAGTGGAAGTGTTCTGGGCGCAGGTATAGATTTAACGCAATAATTTGTCAAATTTACAGCCTGCCTAATGGTGTTTCTGTTCTACAGGTCTAGTGGAGAACCACAGTTAAACATAATTAGTTTAGATAGCTTGTATTTCCAAATGACAGAAGTTGAAAGACTACAGGAGAAAAGGCAGTGCTGCTTTTTCTCTGCACAGCAGTTTGCTGTTTACATTTGAAACCTGAATGAAAGCTTCCAGACATAAGTGCATTCACAAACTGCATTTTCAGAAAATGAAAGCAATACAATGGCACAAGTACACACAGTCCCAAGTATTCTGTAACCCATTTTGGTATACAATGGCTACTGCTCGTATTCCAACCGTCAATTCTTGAAGCACCCTTCAGCATACTGAATGTTAAAAACACCAAAACAGGTATTTTTTAGAAAAGATGCAGGAGGAAAAACGTAATTCGCTGATCTGGCACTAAGAGCCTAGCAGCACAGGAAAGCGGGACACATTACATTACAATATGTGGAACCTTTGGGAGTGAAAACTGAAAAGATTGTCTTCAAAAAATATGGATAGTCGGAACTAGTATTCCTAAGAGCTGTATCTGAAAAATGAATTTGTGAGTTTCATATTGGAAGATGTGGAATTGTACTTCTTTGTTTTGTAGTGAATGATCCCTTAGGAAATTATCTAAATGTGGTTCAACATCAAATCAACCTTATTCAATTCCCGGGCATTAGCAACATACTGAAGCCATGAATGTGATGACTTTCAGTAACCCTGTTCATTTAACATCTTGGAGTCTGAAGTCAATAGCTCTTGGACTATTGAAATGTGGATTAAACCTTGAGAAACATGATCAAAATGCATGCTTTTGAATGCTAATAGGACATTATATTAAAAGAGCTTCACAAAGTAGAAGGGTTAAAACCAAGACATCAAACAATGTGCCAACACCCTTAATAGACACTATAGAAAATATATCTCATAGTGACAGAAAGACGCTATATTGTCTTTGATGACCCAGTGACAGAAATAACAAACATTTCACAAGTTAAATGTGGAAACTAGGCCACTCATTTCCACAGGGAAAGCTGAAGAAAAGGTGCAAAAGCCCCTCCTCTCACCGTGACATTGGACACCAAATCAATTTGGCTTCTTACTTACATCTATTTTAGAGCCCATTAAAGTTTGAAATTATTTGTGATGTAATGCATTTAGAAATAGACAAAGCATTATGTAACTAAGCAGCTGGGTGAGTACCTACTGTATGGTGAGTCAGATGTTTAGAGTTAAAGTGATCCACCACCAAAACCTGTCTTTGTCACCCCTTTTAAGCATGACAGTTCCTGATTACCTTCATACTGTAGCCAAAGACAACAACACACAGGGGTGGTCTCGCCAAAGCAGAATGGGAAATTACAGTTGTAAGACTACTGAAAGTTACAAAATCGTAGAGATCCTCGTTGCATTCACGTTGGCGGCACCCAAGCAATAGTTTAAGGTGTCTTTATGGATTAGTGGGCAATAGGCTCACTGGAAATGGTCTTACCTCATGTGTTGATAGATAGTGACTCAACAGATTTGTATTTAAGTAAAAATGTTCAAAATAATTAATTTGGGAAGCTAAACGTTTAATAGTTTTTAAGTGAGAGTGTGGACTAGATGCTAGTTTCATGTCGCACATGTAGGCTGTCTCCGTTTGCTCACCACCTTTCTTCTTCTTTTTCTAAAATTCAGGCAGGCATTTGTTCAAGCCATGAACGGCAGTGTACACATTTCTTTCAAATATTCAATTTGCATCTTATTTATTATGGCAATGTTGAATCCCCCAAAAACCTAGTGCCCTACCGCTAATGCTAATGAGAGTGCCTCTGGTTACCACTAATCTGAAGATTCATATTGTAGTAACAATGGGCTAATTCCTGTTTGATTAATTACGTGTTTGGTTCTAACTTTGAAGTTATTGTTTTGTTTGTTTTTTGTACAACAAGCCATAAGTTGCATGGCAAACTTTCTGTATCTCAGGTGTACCTTTTACATTACGTTTACGTTGCCTAGCTCTGGCTAACAAAGGCTTACTGGGACATTTCATGTTATAAGTTTCACCTTATGCTGCAATAAATGAACAAATGTACCACCTGTCTGACACGTACAAACCAAGGTGTTTTTACAAGTAGACCCTTGTGAATCATGGCAATATCAAGAAATGTAAGGCAAGGCAAGGCAAGGCAAGGCAAGGCAAGGCAAGGCAAGGCAAGTTTATTTATATAGCACCTTTCAACACAAAGCAATTCAAAGTGCTTTACAAAAAATGAAAGACATTCAGAAAATGGCATTTAAAATCAGTCATTAAAATAAAAGACAGTACAGTATCATTAACATTACAAGAGAACAAGTCTTCCTCTCTTTCCATTTCTAAAGAAAGTGCAGTTGCAAGCCTTCCAAATGTGCTAATTATATCTCAGAAAATAAACACAGATCACTTTTATACTGTTGTGTGAGATTTTAGCACAAACGTTATCAGCCAAACAGCTCGTACTTTCTTTACTTTCTTTTTAGATCAGTAAGTTTAGCGAAAACACTGTGTAGGTCTTGGCCTTTTCTGTCTACAGAGGCTGTATAACCATTAATATTTTACTGATGCTGTCTCTCTTTCTGCTTCTCCTTCCAACTCTTTTCATCTGTGTGTGTGTGTGTGTGTGTGTGTGTGTGTGTGTTTGTTTGTTTGTATCCCTGTCCATTCTGATTGCATGCCGACACCTAAACCTATCCATACCTGTGACAGGGATGACATGTCAGGCACGAAGTTCCTACCTGGACACAGAGGTACTTTGGGGCTACCGCTTCACACCGGTGCTCTCCCTGGAGAAGGGCTTCTACGAAGTAGACTACAACAACTTCCACGAAATCTACGAGACCAACACCCCCACCTGCAGCGCTAAGGAGCTAGCTGCTAAGCTTCGGGAGGGGCCACTATTGCCTCAGCTCACGCTCTTCAGCCCTGAGCCCAAAATGCATACTTTTGACACCCTGGACAGCATGTCCGAAGGGGACCCACTCAGCCCGGATGAGGAAAAAGAGGAGAGAGATTCAGGGGGTGACAAAGGAGAGACTAATGGCTCAGCTGCTGCTTTGGAGGATCTGCCACTTGCTGATGGACTGCCTGACTGATGTGACAGTGCGGCCAAATCAGCGAAAAAATCCAAGAGAGACTGGGCAAGAGGACAGGACAATATAATGCTTTATTTAGTCAATGGCCAGCTTGTTCCTTTGCAATGCTTGGAGATACAAGACATCCAGCCCCCGACTCATGCAATACTCCTCTACTAGAGTGTCAATCTATAGTATAGATTGGTTTTGTAGACACGTAAGTACATACACAGACACACACACGTGCAGTATCTATATCTACACTTAAAAGATTGGTGGCTCAGATTGTCTTTTTATAATCGTAACGACCACTTACTGCTCTAACAGCTCAAGTTGTATAATGTGAACTTGAGTTGAAACTGGTAGCCATGACAGAGTACCATGGGCTTATTATGGATACTCGATTATTCTCATTTTAGAGTGTGTTGATTCAGCTTCATTTGAACAAAGCATCAGCCTCATAACTCAGCTAATGTGTCCGACAGTCCGCTTCTGAGTGACAATGGAACCTTGTTATTGACACTTTTTAAAATATGGAATATTATTATTTCCTTTCTCTGTCAGTGTTGTTATTATTCTGTGTCAGTTACCCAATTCACCCAGGGAAGAAATGTATGAGGCTCCTAGTTGCATTTGCATAAGAAAACATAGGAAATTGTTCTATAAAAGGCAATGTGCACTGGCAACCACTATCCACATGTTCTTTCTTTCTTCACACCTTCCCCGTGGTTGTACTGTCATAAATCCCCAATCATAGTGTGTCGGATTGTCTTTATAAAATATTGGGAGCGTGGACCTAAAATAAACCAGCTAGTACCTCATTTTATACTCATTTAAGGGTTTGAAATTAACAATAACATCTAGGCAAATGCTGGTAAAAGCTGTAATGTTACTGACCGACTTTCAAAACATCTTGACTGGTTAAAGATGAAATATCACTTCCAGCTGCAGCAACTAAACCATTAATTCCAAGCCCTTTTCTTGGTATGTAAAGCACAATTTCCCATGAGGTGTCTTCACACTGACCTGTCCACCTACCTAGCCCCCGCTTTAGGCTGGTGCATGTCAGCCCCTAGTTAAAAATGACATTCAGATGTAGATTGAAATATTTATATGAAAAACATCCATGCTCTACTGCTGTTTCAATTGTTCTGGATTTCTACACACCACAAACACATGAATATTTCAGATGCTCTTTAAGCAATATGAAATACATGATGTATGCTTTTGTTTGTTTTGTTTTTGTTTGAAATATTAAAAGATATCCAACCTTGATGCTTTTCAGCTACATGGAAGTTGAGTCGACTGAAGATAGGAACAGGTTTTCTTTCTAATCTCTCGAGTTTAGCATAATGGCTCATCAGCTGCAATATTTGCCTTTTCTGTAATTATTTCTTCTGAACTTCATCTCTAGTGCTCACCTTATGATTTGAAGCACACACACACACACACACACACACACACACACACACACACACACACACACACACACACACACACACACACACACACACACTTGTGATAAGGCAAACACTTTTCTTGCAAAGGCCATAGCCTACAATTTTTTTTTTTATATTTCTCTAAAAAGGACAGATGGCTTGCATGCATGAACCAACCCCTATGTGTCCCATTGCTGAGTAAGTTTAATACAGTAAGAAATACAGGGTATTTTCTAGGCATGCAAATTATGAGATTTCTATTATATATGATCAGATAATGTTTGAATAATAAATTATCATTTGTTGAAAGAAAAATTCCTGATTTAAAATCTCCCGCTCCCAAATTTAATATTAAATTGTTTTCTTTTAATTCTTACAGATGCTTGTCTAATCAATGTATTTATTTTCACTGTGACATTTCAGCATCTTATAATGTATTCCATTTGCTACACTATACTTTTGTCATTAGCGAGAGATCATCTTTCATTGCTGGAATGTCATCTGTTGTCTGTGTGTTCTCATGGGAATAAACATAATATGGCCGAAAGAACAACATGTTCCTGTTAGATAATGTGTTCATGCATGAGCGAATGTATGAGAGTGTGTAATCATTTGTTCACCTAGCTTTGCAACTGGAGGATCCGAGAGTACCTTGATTTACCACGTGTGACGTTGCCATCAGCTGTAGTGTGACAAAATGAATGGCCATTTCTTAAGTGTCTTTTACATGAGCTACCTAAAAAACTGGATTAGTTGTGTATCAAATCATAAAAAAAAGACCTTTCATTATCAGCACAGAACAATCTTGTCTTGTACTGAAGCTCGAGGCAAAACCTGCTTCATGCATGCTAGCGGAGCAGATATGAGGGATAACATCAATAACTTTTTGCGCCCCCTTTCCTTGCTTAAATTTGAATGAATTATATAAAATGATACAGTGAATGCCTTTCAGAAGCAACCCAAACCCTTCCTGTGCTAAACCCCTGAAATCTAGCAATAGTTGCCCAAGCCTGTGAAGGAAAAATAACCGATGGTTTCTCGTGGATTAACATGATTGCGGATGCTGGAGTCCTCAGGAACTTCTACCAGCATCCCTGAGTCAGCGTTGTGTGTTGCGAGACTACAATTACACAGACACACGCGCACACACACACACACACACACACACACACACACACACACACACACACACACACACACACACACACACACACACACAGAAAACAGCCGGCAGACTGAGTAAGAAGGCCACAACTTCAGAGAAAACACGGCAGAAGTCACAAGGGTAATGGCATTTTTTCAACATCTACAGGGTACAAGCAGTCATAAAATGAGACATGATGTTTCATTTGGTGGCTAGTGTGTCATATAAATTCACTGAATCACAGCAATGTGCTGTCAAGGCTATTCTTGTCCGAGCTATTACATTTGGGACAGCTGACAGTCCCTGATTCAAATCTGAATAATGTACGATGATGAATATAAGGCGCCATTGATTTGTGCATTGAAATAGGTAAGGCAGGTGCATGTGGGTGAGCATGGGTGTGTGTGTGAGAAATGAAGAGATAAGGAAGATATAATCACGCATCACAATCACAAGCCAAAAAACACACAATAAAACCCAGTTATTCATTTAAGCTTTTGCCAAGTTAGATGTGCCCTTTTAACAATGAGTAACTTATGAAAGGACACGAAACAAAGGCAGATAATATTGCTTAAACTAATGAATGGCCCCCCAAAAGAGTATAGCTATACTTCTTTCTTTTATCATGGCAAGCTAATACTCTTCCCTTCTCCTTTAAATAATGAATGCATGTGACGAAGAAGGACGCACATAGGCCATTAACAACTGTGTAGTCCGAATAAAACATCCTGCACAAGAAAAAGAATTATAGACACAGTAAGAAAGAATAAAAAGCAAGTGGGAGGAATTTTACTCTGGTGCAACACAATAGTGCAAGCTCTTTCCGTATACTTGCTGCATCCTCGGACTCCCCTTATTCTGCTCAAACTACTCCCACACAGATAGAAACACACATACAAGTGCAATAGGGAGTCTTTTTCACAGTATTTTCCACATTTTTCGATGGGTTGCCTTGTGATGAAAAGGCAACCTACCAGACCCCATTGTCCACTATTTGGCAACTCTGACTCCCTGCTGCAATTATGTCTTATTAAGCATTCAAATATGCTCTAATGTAATGGTTCCCGTGTCTTCATCCTATTAGAGCTCCCACTGGTCAAAAAGAGGCTTTATGCATGTCATTTGTTTCAATTCTCTATTCGAAGCTTGTATTATAACACTCCTTGTGCACATGTTCTGGTGACTAGGTTGAGACCTCTTTTGCACGCTCATCTTCATGTGCAGCTTTGTGTCACATCCCATGGGACCTGGTGGATTTCCTGGAAATCTCCCACTGCACTGTTACAGCTTGTACATCCTTTCTGCGTTTCGTGTCCGTGCAAAGCTGCTGTCAAGCAGATGTGGTTTCATTTATACTGCACTTCAGGGTCAGTCGATCTGGTCTTCCATGCTTGCGCTTTTCCCAATCCGCACTGACTTCTTTTCCAGGAGTTTATTGCCAGTTGTATTTCTTAAATGTTGGTAACGGCAGGATTCCCTTGGCGGATATTGTCAAACAACCTCTCTTAAAAAAAAGTATTCATTTTGTAACCTTCTTCTTTTTCTTGGCAAACCTAAGGTGGCCGACAGGTGCACACGCTTTACGGTCCCAGCCGTTTGCATCACTTTTAGTGTCCCGAGGTTTCTGTTGTGTTTTGAGCTACTTGCAATGTATTTGATTTTCAGCATGTTGTACTTGCAGTGTTTCGTTTATTCAGCACTTTTAGTAAACCCTGCGCATGTGTTTTCAAAGTGGTGAAGATGTTTCTTCATCTGCATGTGTTTTGGCAAATTAGTTTTTTAATATTTATATTTAAAAGTGCTCCTAATGAAAGTGTTTTGCATGTTTGGACTTCTCGGCCATCGTACAAACAGCTAGAGGTGCATACACTACAAACTGGACTAGAGTATGGAACAAAACTGATGAAACTATGCGACGTGCTTCCTTTCAAATGCGTACAGTCACAAATGTTGAGCTTCTCTTGGATGGACCCTCGCCAACATGCAGATTTTGAATGCAGTCTGCAAAAAAGTTACAAGACTCCAGGATCCAGCCGTGAACAGGATACACAACCTTATGTAATACAGCTTCGCACAGAGCAAGTGAACCAATCACAAGAAGGTGACGTTCTTCAGTCTGCTGTTTGTTCATGGTGAAAATCGGTTTGGAGCGGTTAATTCAGGGGAAAAAATGTATTAAGAAATATCGGAAATCCGAGTGAAACACAACATAGGATCTGATTTTTCCCCAACAAACATTACACGCTTCCATACAGCACAACATACAGCCTCAGCACACATTGCTAACACTGTCTTGTCATGTGTGAAAATAGATTTCACAGATCCTGGCTAGAAGTATGAGAAAAGAAAACCAGCACAGGCAAGTCCGTTGGGTTCTGTATAAAAGAAGCGTAATAAAGGATGTCTTTCCGGAGTTCTGAAGGCAGCAGGCAGACAGATGCACAAACACAGAAAAAGAAACCTTTGCCTTTTCCCAGCCCTCGGTCTGTCCTTTGATGTGTTAGGACGATGGCAGCCTTTGATGAAGATTTCTATGGCCACGGAGTATCTGTGGCTTCGAATTAAGCTTGCTAAGCTTCTGCTGAGAAGCAAAGGCAGGCATCATTTAGAGCATAGGAATATTGCCACAACGCCTCCCTCTGTTCTGTCATTTCTGCTTGTTTTCTTGATTTTCCGGTCATTAACCTCTGCTGTCATTTCAGATACCTGACATTCTCGACAGACCCTGTAGTTCCCTCAGAGTGTTCTTGCTATTACCTGCCACCTGATTAAATAACTCACCAGATCAGCTGTTCCCAATTGCCTGATTAGCTTCTCTGCATATAAACCAGCCTTCTTACTCCAGCAATTTGCCAGATTGAATAACTTGCTGTGAAGTTTTCAGGCTAAATTCAGCCTGAAGGCAAAAGTGGCCATATCAGATTTGTTTTGCACATATGTAACTCAGCTCTGACTTTTTCTCCGAACATCACAGATACCATGAGCACAAACCACAGTATGCTTGCCCTGACACCAA